TCTCCCTCTCCCTCTCCCTCTCCCTCTCCATCTCCATCTCCATCTCCCTCCCTCATGGTTGTTGTTCTCAGCTAAAGCTCAATCAACACTCCTGCCTGCTGCCATGCTCCGCACCCCCCCTCCATGGTCCTGTACTCTTGAAACTGTAAGCAAGCCCCCAATAAACAACTTCTTCTTCTTCTTCTTCTTCTTCTTCTTCTTCTTCTTCTTCTTCTTCTTCTTCTTCTTCTTCTTCTTCTTCTTCTTCATAAGTTGCCTTTGGTCGTGGTGTTTATTTCACGGTGATAGAAAAGTAACCAAGACATGCAATATTTACATCGAACAGGATGAAGCCGCAAGAAATTCCTGTTTAAAGTGGTCCTTCCATTTCACTAGAATCTAGTCAGTCTCGGGGGGTTCTTCTTGCTCAGACTTCATTTCCCGGAGTCACTCTCATGGGACAAAAGCTGCAGCCTTGTGCCTGGAAATGGGGAGAAACAGACCAAGGAAATCGTTCAACTGTGGTGAAAGGAAGTTGTCCCAGATTCGGGTAAGAAAAAGGTCTGGCCCGCGGTGGTACCTGCTGGGGAAAGGGTTGCCCTCTCCATCCTGTCTCACCACCACAAACACCAGCACATGCGCACTCTCCACATGCACGTACGCCATGCTCATTCATGCGTTCGTGATACCTGCACCCACAGGAAGGGCAGGCTCTGACCCCGCAGCTAAAACCGAGACTTGAGAGCTGCTGGTGAAGAAGAGCTTGGGTTCCAGAAAACGAGAAAAAAAAGAAGAAAAGATAACTTTATGTGCAAGTTCTCTGGGATTTTACCAAATATCTTTCTTCTATTTCTGGGTGTCTTTCTGCTGTGCAAAATGCGGGTTTGGGGTGACAGCTGGGGACGAAGGCCTCAAGGGGGACCTGTGAACATTCCTGGGTCAGACAAAATCATAGAAAGAGAGTCAGGATGAGAGATGGATGAATGGCAGAGAGCCACCGGGTACCCCAGGAACTCAAGGTCACAGGGTTGGGTACTGTTTCTAGGATGAGGCACCAGACTGTCATCCTGGACTCCCAAGGGAAATTGCTACATAGACTAGCCAAAGCTGAGAGTGTGGCTGAGTGGGAGCAGAGATCTAGCCTGGCTGAATTAGGTGCTATGTGTCACGTAAGATGGAATTAAGAAGGAATTAACTTATCCCTGCTGATGTAAGCATTCGCCGTCTGGTCTCACAAACAACCGCTTCAATGCAGCCTCTCCAAAATTTTCAACCCCAAGCCTTCAGACAGACCTCACCCTTCCATTTCTGAATGGCAATCATATTAGGGCTTTTTTATAAGTCAGGAAGTTTGCTGTCAGGGCCGGAGAGATGGCTCAGTGGTTAAGAGCACTGGCTTCCAGAGGACCCAAGTTTAACTCCTAGCATCCATATGGGGGCTTACAACTGTTTGTAACTCCCCATCCAAGAATCCAATGCCCTCTTCTGGCCTTGGGCACCAAGCATGCACCTAGCGCACAGACATACATGCCTGCAAAACACCCACACACAGAAAATAATAATTTTTTTTAAAAGAAGTTTGCTGTCTATCTCAGAGACAGGCAGCCTTCTTTGTCCCCTTTGAAGTGATATCCAAACCCCAGCGGTTTCACTGCCTGGGAGGAGACCGCTTCACACATCTGTAAGCAGTTAATTTTCCCAATGGGAGACGGGCACCACCACTGAAAAAGTTTTTAAAAATACACACTAGGAAAATATTGCTTCAGCAAAAGTGGAAGTGGAGAGCCCACGTGAGCGGGCAGTGAGTGGTACCGGTTCTGAGCAGTAGGTCCGGTCTACCCAGGTCCCCGTGGATCTTCTCCTGCTGGGCCGAGCAAGAATGAGAGACAGGAGAGACGTGGAGATGTGGAGAGCGCAGAGCAGGACCTTCGGAGCATGCGCAGCTCCCAGTGGGGAAGTCAGGGCCCAGGGCAGAGGGCAAGCGATTGTCTAAGGCAGGGGCAGAGCCCAGACCAAGAACTTTTCTGTGCTACAGTAAACCTCATTTTTACATGGATAGTTTAGCTTTTACTCTTTTAAGAAAATAAATGACCCCTGACGCCTTAACTGTTGCCTTTAAGCCCTACTTTGAGCCCATGTGAAAAAGACTCCATGCTGGCTCCCATATATATCTGCCCGCTCACGAGCACACACACGCATGCACGCACGCCAATTCCAAAGCCAGATGAAAAACTACAGAAAGCCATGATATTCCAGAAGGAGGGAGCAAGATTGATAAAGTCAGAATATGGACCCCACTTGGCCAGCTCCTTCTCTCATTTGTGGGGATGTCGTGACCAAGTGTGAGAACCACATGTCCAGAGGCCAAAGAAAGCCAGGTCACTGTAGTTAAAGGGAGTTACAGAGAGAGACCCAGCTGTGCCCACACCCCACCCTTTCCCTGCTCCGGTCTCGGCGTGACCGTGGTGCCTCCGTTCTGGGAGCAAAATGAGAGTAACGGTGTATATCCCCAGCATAGACGCAGTTCAGAATGGGATTTGTGTACAGGGTAGCTGGTCAGGTGGGGAGTGAAATGGAGGAAATATGTGCTACCAGCAGCGCATTGGAAGGAGTGCCCAGTCACCCCTGGTCACTGCTAAATGAATGACCCCCTCGATCAAGGGGGTGTGATGCTCAATCAGACAACTGTCAGTCTCTTCCCTTGGAGATGGTTTTCTGTAGTGAGGCTCCCAAACCATTCCAGAAGAAAAAAAAAAGTGGAAAGCTGTGGGTATGGGGAGTGGAGGTCCACGGGAGAGGCACAGATGGGAAAGCGAGCTGGGGAGACCACGGAAGGCACGGAGGAGCGCTCAGATGTTACAGCCACAAGAGGGCGCTGCTGCCCCACCATCAGCCCAGGCCTGCTTGAAAATGGAGGGGTTCAAGGTTTTTTTGTCTCCAGTGGGTTTCACTCCCACTCCACATTACCCCAACTCCCAGACTCTTTTCATCTTTTAGGGGTCCCTTCTGGTCACCCTGAGAATGAGCTTAGGGACCATTGGACACTCACTCCTGTATAAGGCTTTCCCTGACAGTAAGGTAAGCTCTCCTGGTCATGGATCCTGGTCATGGATCCATGGATAGAGGTCAAGAGGTCCTGGGTGGGGAGTTAACAGCCGACCCCCCCCCCATTTGCTCCCCAACTGCTCCCCACATGTGAGTCCAGGTACCGACCGGAAAGGGTGCTCTGTGTGTCTGTGTTCTGGTGTGTGTGTGTGTGTGTGTGTGTGTGTGTGTGTGTGT